GCATTCCTGAGGTCTCACGTTCAGAAGGAAATGGAACAACCCAGAGGACCCCAAATATTTTGACGGAGAATAACTTTCATCTAACTCCAAGGCCTCCTTGCCTCCTGATGAAGGCTGGGCAAAGCAGCTCAGCTCCCCAGTTCTCAATTTAGCCTTAATGAAAGTGTACAGCTGAGGACTTTTCGCCTTTCCTTTCTCATGGGACAGGCTCTGGAGCAGCAGGGACGCAGAACTCCTGGCCATGTTTGTGGTTGAGCAAGCAGGGACAAGAGGAGGCCAAAGGGGAGGCAGAGCAGTATAGGGTCTTAGCAAACCCGGGAGTGGAACAGCATGGTCTTATCAGGCTTAGGAAAGAGATCTCCATCTACATCAGGTACCGTAGCACTCAGCTCACTCTCCAGCTACATTTCTTATTCCCACCCAGTAACCTGCACACTGTTAGGGACATCATTGGTCCTCAGAGTTGTTAATAAAAGTGATCAATGTAATAAACTTAACATCGTTGTGCCAGTAAAACTGTTTGAAAATGACAATCTTGCTGCATCTTCTCTTGCGGGTTACTCTTGTCTTCTCAGGTGACCAGTAAATTTGTTAGCTCGGCATCTCCTTAGTCCTCCTTCAGCTTCATGCATGATTTAGGGCAATTGTTTTCTTTTTCCTATAGTACAGTTTTCTCAGCTTTAGAATAGGGATAATGAGACTACTATATTCCATTCAACATACCATCGCATGTTATATGCTCTATATAATGAGAATATAACAAGTCATAAAGTTATCTTAAGTGAGCAGATTATTTTAAGCACCAGGGACATATGAAACATAGCAACGATAGTTGTTATTGTGACAGGTATGCACAAAGGAGTAAAAGCCATTATTTCATGTCCACTTAAAAGATACATATTTTTTTAAGGTTTTTTTTTGATGTGGACCATTTTTAAAGTCTTTATTGAATTTGTTACAATATTGCTTCTGTCTTTTTTTATGTTTTGGTTTTTTGGCCCTGAGGCATGTGGGATCTTAGCCCCCCAACGAGGGATCGAATTCACACCCCCTGCATTGGAAGGAGAAGTCTTAACCACTGGACCACCAGGGAAGTCCCCAAAAGATACTGATATAATGCCATATTTGTGCCTTACTGAGCTCATAATTTTGTTATGCAAAAATTCTACCTCTGTGAATTAAAATAGGATCATCTTTTTAAGCATTGTGCAAAGCATACAAACAAATTTTTAAATTCTACTAGCAAATGAAATATGCTCACAGATGTACCAAACACTAGATTACAATTACCTATGGATCTCTAGTGGGCATCAAAACAAAATGCAATCCGTGCATTGGCACAGAAGATATTTATCAATATTAAGTAGAAAGTAATATATTAAGTTTAAACTTACATCATGCTGAAACTAAAAGCATTTTGATGCAGATTACAAATTTTTATGCAATTTATCCATATAAAATGACATTTTGAAGTAGTGAATAAAACTCTCCAATGAAAAACCCTGATTATATATATAAAGCTGAATGCTTAATCTATGAAGCCTTAAGGGTCTTCTAAGACCCTTGCTTAAAACAAATGAGAGGAAAAAAATATCTTGAAAATTGAGATGAATTTCTTAAGATACTTACTAGGTCATAAGATATTGCCAGTAAGCTACATCTTACGGAGGTTCGAGATCAATGTGAAGCAGCCTTGGCTGACGTGTCCGAAGCATCAGATACTTGTTGTTATACCCGCCATCTTAAGGTCTGACGCTCATCTGGTCTCCGTGGCACCACCATCCTCTGCTTT